GGGGGGGGGGGGGAGGTCGCCAAAAATTTTTTTGAGATGCCCTTTTGTTTTTGAAAGTGCCCCTCAAAGCCTGCCCCCCCCCCAACTTTTCTAAGCTTCCTACGCCCCTGGTAGTTTCACTACGGAAAATGGAAAATAAAGGTCTTTGGTGAGTTAAATGTTGTCTTACCCAGAATTTCTTACCCTAAATTTCTTACCCTAAATTTCAAGGAAATTGGAGTTTTCCCAGATACAGAAAATTAATTTTCAAAAAGTGTACTAATTTAGAATTTTTTGGACTGCAAAAGAAGGCAATTTTTACACGCTTGTCTTGACATTGAAAAATCATTTCAAATTTTCGAGAGGCTGTGGCTCACAATTTTTGTTGCTAATTTCGTGAATCTCGGATATGTGTCATGTTTGATAATTTTCGGCTTTGAAAATAATATTTCAGAAAACAAACCCCACCACGTTTCTGAGTACATATTTGAGTATCACTGGAAAAAATAAGATTTTTATTTTTCCTCATGTGCCATGTATTCTCGATTTAGCTTGGTTATAGTGGAGATTGCCTCTTAACATTGCACAGAAAAATAATGCATTAACCCCCCACTGACATATAGTGTGCAAGGAGTTGAATGTCTATCAGACTCATGGCTAGTCTCTTTATTATATAACCTACATACAACTGTGTCCACATTTATATTATGTGTCCCAAATTGTCTGCTGCAAACTCATACTTGAACTTGAGTCATGCACTTAGTGGATGTGCTACAGTATGTGTTTGCAAACTCTTTGTTTGCAATGATGTAATTTTCACTATTTTAATGTCTTGATCGAGTTTAGAGACAGTTTAAGACTCAAAAGGTGAATTAGCACCATTCAGTTTTTCTCGCCACAACCATTCTGTTAGAGGCAAGATTGACCACAAGTTGTTTGATTGCCCGTCATTTGGATGGAAAGTCACATGATTGCAAACAAAGAATGAGAGGGTGTTTTATTATCAGTGGTTTATTGTTAGGATCAACAGGGAAACAAGCTTAAAATATAGTGTTGTTTTATTAATTGCAGTGGCATACCAAGACCATTCTGATTAGGGGGAGGGGTGTGTGCTGCTCTAAATTTACCATGCAACTCAGTTTTATTTATCAATTTACCAACCATTTCCACAAACTACAATATATAAATAAGTAGCTATTTAAGAACACAACTGTTAAAAACATTAGAGAATGGAAACTATGTCTCAAAGAAAACATGATATTTAGAATCATCCGTTTTTAATCCTAACATCATATGTATTAATCGTTCTTTACTCGTACTACTTCTCTCGTATTTCTCATTGAAACGGTAAAAACAATCGCATATAAAACCATACAAAACAACATATATATTTTTTCCCTACATTTTTGTACACTATCAAGACAACAACAACGTGCTCTGTCCATTTTACTTCCGCTATGACGTATGTTCCGCTATGACGTATGTTACACTCCCCAGGGTTGACACGTTCATAACGAGTCAACAAAGTCTTCGAAATACTATAAATTGTCTGAACGTATTTAAATATCAAAATGTCAATAGACTGTAATTTAACTGTTCGTACTGTTCTACAACTTGCCCATCTGTTTCAACCGTTTCAATTGTCCGGTTATGGCTGCATTCCGTTGCGGTCGCTCAGTTGGACGTAATACTTGTGCGTTCACCGTCTCTTCACTTTCTTGATCCGCATTCTTTAATCCGTCGGTCTCACTTTCATGTCTCACTTCAATAGGGATCAAGTGCTGGATTGAGCATCTTAAGAACTGCGAATTATTTGAATTCTCACGAAGAACTCTGACAACAGCAGCACGAGGAACCCCGTCTTCACCGCGGAGTAGTTGCTCCACTTTCGCCAATTTCCAAAAATTACGTTTCGTTTGGTCGTTACGAATAATAACAATGTCTCCTAACGCTATCTCAGGATTTCTGTTAATTCTTGATCTGGTGCTTGATTGCTCTCGTAAAGCCAACAAATACTCGTTTTTCCATTGCTTCATAATGCGCTCAAGCAAATTTCTATGATGCTTCGCCCTCCGAGTAAGACTTTGGTAAGTGTTTACGATTTCATAATGCTCGCTATTAGGCATGGTCGTAATCCGTCTTCCGTAAACTAAATGCGATGGTGTTAACTAGAAAGAGATTGATTCTGTATCATCGTACACGTACGTTATTGGTCGCGCATTCACTATACCCTCGATTTGAACCGTGAGTGTTTGGAGCTCGTCGTAAGAAAGATTTGTTCTGCCTATCACCTTCCGTAGTGGACACTTTACACTTCAAATTAATCGCTCCCAAAATCCTCCCCACCAAGGGTCCTTTTCTACGATAAACTGCCACGTGATTTGATTGTTCGTAAGATACCGCAATACTTCGTCGGCACGACACAATTTTCGAATCTCTGCTGATGCTGCACGAAATGTTTTCGCATTATCTGATATGAGGAGAGCGGGTAAACCTCTTCGACTTGCGTAACTTCTAAATGCTCTGAGAAAGGCTGGTACACTTAATGATGGGGTAAGTTCAAGATGCACTGCCCTTGTAGATGCGCATGTGAACAATAGAACATATACCTTACTCGAATTATCCGACGACTTCTCTAGCTCACGACTCTCTCGAACGAACAATGGTCCCGCGAAGTCCAAACCAACGTTGGTAAAAAGGGGTTCGTCTGATACTCTGCTAGCTGGAAGAGCTGGAGGCGCTGTAGCTCCATAAGGCAACCCTTCGGCCTTTTGACAAATCACACATTTCTTGATGACTCTTTTCACTGCCTCACGACCCCGTAATAACCAAAAATGCTCACGTATAGTCGTCAAGGTGTCTCGTAGTCTGCTGTGTTTAATCTTATCGTGAACTTTGCGTATTAATAACTCGACAAACTTTGATTTGTTTGGAAGCAAAATTAGATTTTTGCTCCCCAGGTTCAATGACGCATTGTTTAATCTACCCTTGCACCTTAAGACATGATCATCGTCGAGAAACAATCCAAATTGATTCACATAAACTGGTGGAGTTGACTTCGCATTTCTCGAAATGATGAACAAAATCTCCTTATCAAATGATAAGCTTTGAATGGACTTTATCCACAACAACTCTGCCAGTTTCACTTCACTTGCAGTCAACTGTTCCAGGTTTCGATTTACTGGGTGCTTATCCTGTGTCCATTTCTTCTTCAAGGCGTTAATGTATCTCAACACGTAAGCTGTGACACGAAGAAGTCTACTCAACGAGCTAAAACGATTGCTATCTATCACCTTGTTAAGATCAAATTCAGTGGACTGTTCGTCATTCGTTATAACAAGTGATCGTACGACATTCGAAGGTTGTTTAGCAACTTCTCGCAATACTTCATCTGGTTCTGGTTTATTAGTAGCTGGACATTTTGGCCACTGGTCTTCGTCATTAACTACGAATTCGGGTCTGTTAAACCATAATGATTTGTTCGAAAGTTCCTGAGCAGAAATGCCACGTGAAGGCAAATGGGCCGGGTTCAAGGATCCTGGACAAAAACGCCAAGCCTCCACAGGTGAAAGACTTCTTATTTTGTTCACTCGATGTTGCACAAATTGTTTCCAAATACGACTGTTTCGTATCCAGTGCAGTGTAGTCATTGAGTCAACCCAATAGAATATTTCCACATTCCACTCGAGTGCACTCAACACCGAACTTACTAACTTTGCTAGTAATGTTGCACCAATCAGTTCTAAACGGGGAATTGTTTGCTTCTTGACAGGTGCAACTCTTGTTTTCGATGCCATTAATTTCACGTCAACACGACTGTTCTCGTAAACTGTTCTCGTGTAGACAACTGCACCAATTGCACGCTCGGACGCATCGCTAAATCCGTGAATTAGCATAATAAGACGATTCTGATTAGAAAGATAATAACATCTTGGCACTCGGACCGTTTTAAGGAATTCTAGCTCTGATATCAAAGCATCCCACTGCTTACGTGCATCTCCTTGCAATTCACCGTTACAGTGGATTCCTTTGCAATCGTTGACTTGACCGACAAAATCTAAGCTTCAGAATTTCAGATTGTGGATCTTTAGCATCCTTTAACCACAAAAATCTTAGCATATTCCTATCTTCCTCGTTGATTCCGATCATTAAGAAAGCTTTCTCAATGTCCGCCAGCAATCCAACCGGTAGCCTGCGTAGCAGGCGGTAGAAGCTAGAAATACCGCCTGCCCAAAAACTACACATTCTGAGTTCCGCCCACCGCATGGTCCCGCCCATCTTACAGTAATGTATTTATTTTCAGTTAATTATTTGTCAAACTCACGTATTTACACCAGTGCAAATATACGGCTTTGACGTTTCATATCTTCGGTTCATTCAATGCTATCATTGCTATGAAGACAAAAATACCACGTTCGATTCAGTGTAACAATATGTCCTCATTCATAGCGATAGTTTTAGTCGATGTCAACATTATAGCGATTTATGAGCTTTGAAAGTCAAGCGAGTTCGTGTATTTAATATCAAATTACGCAATTGTCTGAACAAAAATATAGACTAGCCATACCTTTCGCCGAACACAACTTCGGCCGCCCCTTCAGACGTAACTTTGTAATAGGCTTGTTCCAATCGCTATCAAAAACACGACTTAGAGTGTCATTTACGAGCCTGTATCTTCAAATCTGCACTTTTATCACGGTATCACATCTTCAAGCAACAAATGTTGGATTGATATTAGTTGTTCATTCTTCAAGACGAAGCGATTTCCGATTCCAGATAAAGATTAAAGAATTCAACGCTTAATTCTCAATACATTCGTTATCTTTTGGTTAGTGTATGCCATCACTCGATATATCGGTACAATTACGAAAATAACAATAGTTTATATTATAAATACGGCAACAGTAACTTCTAAAATTAGCACTAATTATTCTAATTCTGTACTCCTGTCAATCAAAAATTCAAAATCAACATTCTGCCCAATCAGATACCGCCTGCTCCGCAGGCTACCAATCAGAATGCTCCGGCACCCAGCTGCCGGGGAGAACTCAGAATGTGTAGTTTTTGGGCAGGCGGTATTTCAAGCTTCCCATTCTCTCGTGCCCGCGAATACCGCCTGCTACGCAGGCTATCCAACCGGGTTTTGCCTAAACTTTACAAGCAAGTCAAAAATTTGTGGAATGAGGTTGGGACCAGTAAGCAAACAGTCATTAAGTGAGTAGTTATGCGTTTCCGTTTTCGCTGATCCGTCATACACAACACATAATTTGGTGGTGGCCTTATCGTTTTGAATGACACCGTGATGTGGAAGATAGTGAATGTTTTTCTGATCCTTATCGCTTGGAGGAACTTCTTCTGCTATTCCGGTAGCCAATTGCTCTTCAATATTTCGGTTGTACTCATCGAGATACTTGCAATTTTTGATGCAGCGACTTTAACCAATTACGACACAGTTCATAATCGTCCTCGATGTTGTGATCATTGCCCTTCCATGGCAAGCCAACTGCATATTGTGCTCCTGTGAATCGAATATTTTGAACAAAATCTTGTTGCTTCGGTGCGATCTCGTGGTCGATGGAATCGCTGCTAACACTCTCCACCTCCCAAAAACGCTTCAACGAAGTAGTTAGCTCATCCTGATCACTTGCTGTACTAGAGTTGTCAAATTGTTCTCCTGTTAAGATGAGATTACTGAATGTGTTGCTGTTCGACTGAAGTTGCTTCGATGGTCCAGATAAAAGCCAACCCAATTTGCTGCTCACTGCGGTTGGGCCATTTCCTCCATGAATAACATCACCAGTGACTATATCCCAATAATGATCTGCACACCCACAAGAATATGGATACTGTCGTTGTCGTTACTGCTATCACAGGAATTGAAATCTGCAAGTTCTAAACTGTCGAGGTAGGAATATTTGCTTATGTTTACCTTAGCGGGAAGGGGTGCACAAATCGTTGGAAAACCAATTGAAGTAATTTCTATACTTTCGCCATTGTTCTTGTTCGCAATGTTTACCTTGAACACTTCACAGTTTTCTCGCTTAGACTTGCTTTCGCCGAAGGTGTTTAGTTGAAGGGTTTCTTTGCCAATCGGGTTTAACCTTAATCGATTTTGAAGCGACTTCCAGATGTAAGACCTTTGACTTCCGGTATCAAACAATATACGGGCAGGAACTAATCTTGACCAATTCGATACAGTAGCTCTGGCGGTCTGCAACAAAACACTTCCTTTGGTTGTCTGGGTAACAGCTGCGGTAGTGGGAGGGTCTGAACCTTCGGGACCTTTGTTAGAATTTCGGTTCTCGGGGACTTTCTTGTCATCACATTGTTGACAGTTATTGCTAGGGTTATTACAAATAGATTGGTGGTGTCGTCCAGAGCAATGTCGACACTTCTTTGTGGTATCACACGTATTTGCACGGTGCCCTATCTTTAGACAAACAAAGCAACAATTTGAATCCTGCAAAAGTTTCAATCGACTATCTCTGTCTGTTACCTTTTCACAGGATGCAGAATAATGTAATTCATGACAAAATGCACATCTAACCTTAAAACTATCTTCACCGTCCTTGCCATTTTTTGTCACGACAAATGAACCCACAGTTGGAAGTGAGCCCTGTTTTTTGTTGGGGGGTTTCTCACTTGCATTCGAGCGAGCCATCTTCCTCATCTCTCGTGCTTCGACCTCTGACTTTATAGTTTTGAGCAAATCATCGATTTTCCAAACATCTGCTGCTTTACGTGCTACAAGCAACCTAATTTCGCTTGGCAATTTGGACATGATTGCAGGGATCAATAAGCTACCATATTGGTCAGTGGCAATTCCCTGTGATGCAAGTCCACGAACATGCACACTTATATTGTCAAAAATAAATCTTAACTGTCTGGTTCGGCCTTCAGAACATGCTGGGATTTGCAAGATTTGGTCCATGTGTGCAGCTATAATTTGCTGTGTTTTGCCAAATCTTTCTTGTAAGATTTCGATTGCTGCATCATAATTGGCAGATGTAAGTGTAAGTCCCTTTATTGAACGTGCAGCATTCCCCTCAAGCAAGGAAAATAAATAATTGAACTTGTTTACTTTAGACACACTAGTATTGCTATGTATTGCAGTGTTATATAAGTCCCAAAAAGAACTCCACTCAGTAACTTTCCCACTAAATTTTGGAAGTTCGAGCTTTGGCAGTCTCGGCAATGTCAACGATGTTGGCACACGAACTCGTGTTCGTATTAATATTACTCGTTGCAATATTACTTGTATTAGAGTCAACAATACTCGCACTGTTTACACTATTATCTGTCACGCTATTTTCACTGTTGGTCGCTAAATTACCTGTATTTTCACTCATATTTGAGTTGTTTTCGATTTGAGTTGTGGCACTAATGGTTGGTGATGTGACAACGCTAACGTTTCCCACATTTGGCATCTTCTTTGCTGCTTCGATTTTGCTTTTCGTGTTGAGAATTCGGTCAATAACGACCACCACTTCTTCGATTTCGTGTTCTATCTCGCTTACTTCGCATATACCAAGAATTTCGTCGTTTAATTCTTTTAAAATCGTCATTTTATCTTCAAGTTGTTTTGAAATAACTTCGCATCGTTGAATATCTACATCGGTTGACTCAAGAATCTCAAGTGATTCTTTTATAAGCTTGGTTGTCACACCGCGATAACCGCCTCTTTTGGCGCGAAGTCGCTCTAAATTTTCCCTCGACATTTGACTGAATTTTTCGCTCAAAACAGTACAAATAAATAACTTATATGTTTCACGTTGGGCGCCATGTATTAATCGTTCTTTACTTGTACTACTTCTCTCGTATTTCTCATCGAAACGGTAAAAACAATCGCATATAAAACCATACAAAACAACATATATATTTTTACCCTACATTTTTGTACACTATCAAGACAACCACAACGTGCTCTGTCCATTTTACTTCTGCTATGACGTATGTTACATCATACAATAAACACAACACTTCTGGTTTTTAAAAAATGTTTCTATTGCTTGGGTAGATAGGTTACCTATGCAGAAATTCAACCGATCTGCCCCACCAACATCACTTGTTAATGCTGTACTTGGTATTTCTGGTTTGTACAGTTGATAACCTGTTTCTGAAACAAGTAAAAATTCACCTTGACTCACTTTATAGGAGTAATACATTGTGTTTCTGCTTTCTTGATGACGTCATCACTGCTTGTACTTGTTGAAGCAATCTGGCCGGTATTGTTGATATACTTGGTAAAGCTGCCCTCTAGACACCTCTCAATTGTAACAAAGCATACATTGCCATTATCTTCTGTTATTTTCCCAAAAAGCATGCTGTAATAAGAAAATGTCTTGCCAAATGTTCCTGGAACATTTCTTTGCATCTGAGTTGTAATGTTTTGGGCCAATGTATGCACCTGGACCAGCTTTCTTGCATGCTCTTCGTCTGTTAGGCTAAGAGCCTCCATGTCTTTCAGGGCATTATTTTTTTATACTTCAATACCCACTTCCCAGACAATTTTCCATCAATACTTTTACACTTGTGGCATTGATTCTTCTGGTACTTCTTGAATTCATCTTTGTCCGCCATGCTTCCAGTTTGACTTAACCACAGAATAAAGATCAGTAACAGAAGGGCCACTCAGCGGTGCAACATGTCTGCATTTTTTTATGCAAAAATATGCAGTCTACTGGCCAGAAGACGGAGCAACCAGCCAGTACAGCGTGTTTATTGGCCAGAAAATGTCATTGACTGACTAGGAAAATGGCGGCCAACATGCGACATGCGCGAGGACAGAAACTTCAAAGCTTCCGACGTAAGTGGCCCTTCTATATGGATCTTTATTCTATGACTTAACTGCCGCTGAGGAACTGGGGAGAGCATGCGCCTCACCTGAGAATCCTGGTCAGCGGTAAATCATTTTAATGCACTGAGCTATATAGATACAATCACAGATTAAGAATTGATCACAGATGTGTAACTTCAGTAAGAAAGTTGTCCCACAGTCACCATCTTCCTATCAAGTGTTGCTCGTGTGATAATTCACCATTTGGTAATATGTCTTGCTTTCAAAAATGCTTTCAACAACTTTTCAACAACATTAATTGCTTTCAACAACTTTAAACATGGTCATACTTAATCTGTCATATAATGTGTCGTCTCAGACATGAGAATTTTGTTACTGTCAGACACAGACAATAGCACATAGTGACATACATTTCGGATGTCCTCCTTATAGTCTCCCACAGGCGATCCAAACAAAATCATTTGCTTGGCCAGTTTTAAAGTCGAAAATGACAAACCAATGAAGTAATACCTTCAGTAAGAATGAATGTTTGTATTTGTAGGCAAAAATGTATCAAAGGTCAGGCTCCTTTTACAATTATTTGTATAGAATTTGCTTGCCATTTTGGAATAAACGAGACCAAATTGCTTGCCAGTGGTAATTTATCAGCCTTAATTTATGTTAATCACCCCACGCAAGCCCCATGTGCAGTTAACTAAGTGATTAGTTAACTGTCCAACTCAGTTAACTAATTACAGTTAAGGATTTAACTACAGTGATTAGCGCTAATTACGTTTTTATACAACCAGCTCCTAAACTATACAGTCTATACTCAGAGGAATTATCAGACAAGTCGTCATCTGACAGATTTGACTTTTTCCCAAATAAAGAGTAGTCTCAAATTTCTTATAGTGAGAAAAGATTTGCAATAAAGGACTTGGCAATGTTGTTGTTGAGTCTTTGACGACACAAGAGGCCACAGTAATGTACAATCACAGGGATGGTTGGAACATGTTTTTAACAATGGCAGACAAATTTTAATTAAGTGATTTTACATGCTGAAAATAATTTCACCTATATTCAAATAGCGATGGTGTTAAAGATCAAGATGGGCCGTGGTTGAAGGTTGGCAAAAATGGCAAAGTATAATGTCAGAATCCCCCTGCTTTCAATGACAACAGTAAACAAAACCAAAGGGATAGAAAGAATTCGAATGAGCATGTAAGTAACAGGAAATGTCAAAAACAGCAAACCAATCAAGAAATGTCAAGTCAGTCAAGCAACAGGCAACCAATCTGAATCTTGGGTCACAATCATTGGAGACTAAACGAACATGGTAGAAAACTGTCCATGTCACATAAGGTCACATCAAAGTCATTTTCTGGTGTAACAACTGAAGACTTGGAACATCATGTTAAACCGTTGCTGAAATACAAGCCTGATAATAACCTAGTTGAGAAAGAATAGCCCGAGAGAGATCAAGTTGGATAAGCTTGTCACTGGCATAAAAACAGAGCTGCCAAATGTGGATATAGCTATATCCTACATGGTCAGAAGAAGTGACAACCCAGCACTAAATTCAAAGATCTTAGAGGTAAATAATATACTAAAAAGGTATTGTGAACAAAATTACTTGATTTTATAAATAATAATAATATCTGAGAACAATTTTTAAACACAGGTGGACTACACCTAAAGCCAAGAGGTATCCAAGCCCTCGCTTGTAATTTTAGAAATTACATTACCTATGGATGTAATTTCAATGCGGATCTCTTTCTCGACATGCGACATTTTTCACGGCAAGCAATATTTTGATTCAACTGTTTTATAAGGTAACTAGAAATACATGCATGCAGCAACCCCTCGCCTTTTTTTAACAGCTGAAATATAGAAATTCCACATGAAGTATTCCATTCCATGTTTAATTAAAATAATAGTAGTCGCTATGGTAACATGAAAATAATACGAGATAACTTTTAACTAAAGAATCATTGATTTTCATATTTTGGAATGTAGCCTATTGATAGTTTTGTTATGTTGGCTTTCAATAGACTTAAAATTTAATGTAAAATGTAACGGTAAAACGTTTGAAACTTTGTCGTGAAACTGCAGGGGAAACTGAAAAACTCAGTTGTTTTGCCGACAGTAGTTTGCTCGAAAATACGGCAAAATATATTTGTTTTATATGCAGAAGCTAGTTTTTGAGCTATGGGTTTAAGTATAGGTTATAGTTTACGTAAACGACCATAAATAAACACACATAAAAACATGATACGCTGTATTAATTGCCCCAAATAAACAACGTTATTTTAATATTAATCACTACATTTATACAATTTCATGTATACAAATACCAGCTTGCATAAAAACATATTATTTACTGAGTTTATATTATGGATGGCGTAAAAATTTCGCAGATGTATGAATGAAATCGAAAACACAAAGCAAGTACAGTATGGAATTTTAATACTGAAATGTTTGTAACACTTAATACCCATGCAAGTCCCAAACATAGCCAAGACAACGATTAAATTTACTTTTAAAAAAAATATCTGGTTCGTCTTTGACAAAATTCGTGTTTATACATGCCTTTCACACTTTGTTTCACGGTTGACAACCACTAATTCATGAAACTGCAGGCTTGTTTCCATTTAAAAGCGAAATTCATCGCAAAAATATAATGTAAAACGGCCAAATAATCTTTGCAAAATGAAAAACATTTTTTTATTGCGAGCTTGTACTTGCGCACACGCATAACGTCGAAGACCGTCCATCACATAATGGAGGACAACTTTGCACTTCGCTATGTTTTCAAACACCCGGGTGTAAATAGCCGTGCGGAATTAGTACCCTCGCACGGCGCTTCGCGCCATCGGCTCGGGAATATTTCAGTGCGTATTCACCCCCCTTAAAAACAAAGAACACCATTGAAATCCTAACAAAATAAGCTTTTCATCAGGGGGTCTAATGCCGTCAAAACAAATACACAAACCGAAACAATCATATATTTACTCACCGTTTGGCCAAATATTCTGTATTTTCATATGGAGAAAAAGTTGAATATTTCTAAACTCTTCAGAATTCGCCGCAAGTTAATATTAGTGAAATATTCCTTGTATTCAAGCGCTTTTATGTAGAAAGTTTTGTTTGAATACGGCAAGTGGAAATGTTTATTTTGATTTTTTCAAAATATCGGGTTTCATTGGGTTTTTACTCGCACGCGCATGCTGCATATAAAATTGGCCAATAAGGAGTATCCCGTAGCCCAATGCATGTGAAAATCACGCTGCAGATGTAATTTGATTTCGAGATGTAAGATGTAATTTGTAGAATCGATTTCCGATGTTTTCCGAGCACTAGGATGTGAACACGTGATGTTTTGGCAGATATAAAGTGTATTTCCGGTTAAAAATATCCCGCTGATTTTATTAGTTTTGCAACAGATTGAAATACCAAAATAAAAGACGAAAAACTAAGGCTACAAGCTTGAAAATAACACTTTCAATAGTGTTTTTGATTCTGTTTCCAATAAGACTATAGCGAAAACGATATCTCAAAAGGGGCCGAAGTTATGTTCGGGTATGGATAGCTTGCATTGTTCGAGATAATTGATTAATTTTATGAAATATGACACCGCTTGACCTGTCAAAAGGTCATAAATTGTTATACAATTTCCCTAAAACTATTATTTGACTAAAACTATCGATAGGTATTAGGAGATATTGTTTCACTGAATCGAATGCTGGTATTTTCATCTACATAGCATGCACCGAACCGAAGATATTGAATCTGGAAGTCACATATTGCTTTGAAGCAATGCGTTAATAGGGTCATGTCGACAAAGAGTCAACATATAACTTGACGAATCATAATTCAACCAATGATAAATCAACATTGTGTTCAGTTTTACATGATGAAACTCACGGCGGGTCTAAAACACAGGTCACAAGTCACAGCTTCATTTGCAATTTTACTCATTTCAGTATGCTCTTTCTAGCTGTAGCGATTTATTTGCATATCCTTGCCTAGAATTAGTCTATAATAGGAATTGTCTATTGCAATACACTATTCTCTGCGACACACAATCAGGTATGTTTTTTACACGAAGCTGCGACCTGTGACTTGCGACCTGTGACTTGCGACCTGTGTTTTAGACCCTCCGTGACACTCGACATGACCTTTCCAAAATTAGGGGATTTAAAATTGGATCACTAAATATAAAAAGTCTTTCAAAACACATTGATGAATTGCAAGTATTTATGAAAGATGGTATTTTTGATATTCTGGCAATTAATGAAACTAAATTAGATCTATTTGATCCCGAGACTATTTTATTGACCTCCCAGGCTATACTGGCATCCACAAGGATCGCAATAAAGCTGGAGGAGTCTGTATTTATGTTCGAAATTCTATAAATTTTACTAGAAAACCTAACCTTGAAGACAGAAGTCTTGAAATGATTACAATTGAAATTAAAAAGCCATATTCTGATCTGTTTTTAATAACAACATGGTATAGACCACCAAAATCTCCTGTTGTACTTTTCGACAAATTTGAGAAAATTTTAATTAAGTTAGATGCGTCTAAAAAAGAATTCGACATTTTAGGCGATTTAAACTGTGATTTAATATCACCTGAAATTAGCATTCATACTTCTAAATTGATCAATTTGTTGGATAATTATCAATTAATGCAACTGGTTAAACAACCAACATGTGCCACAGAAACAACAAAGACATTAGTATTCCAAAGGTCATAGGTTTGAATCCCACCGTGGCCGGGCATATTTTTCAAGCTCGCCCGGTGTGGATATGAGCTCAGAGTAACATCGCATACATATTATTCACCTGAGTACACAACACCAACACAGAAAAATTCATATTACTACAACACATTGGTATTGAAGGAACTAGATAGTGTTCCGAAATATCACTTACTCGAACCGTCCTGACCGCGTAGCTCAGTTGGAAGAGCATTGGGCTAGTATTCCAAAGGTCGTAGGTTCGAATCCCACCGTGACCGGGCATATTTTTCAAGCTCGCCCGGTGTGGATATGCACTCAGAGTAACATCGCAAACATATTAAATTCACCTGAGTACACAACACCAACACAGAAAAAATTCATATTACTAGAACACATTGGTATTGAAGGAACTAGACACTGTTCTGAAATATCACTTACTCGAACCGTCCTGACCGCGTAGCTCAGTTGGAAGAGCATTGCGCTAGTATTCCAAAGGTCGTAGGTTCGAATCCCACCGTGGGCGGGCATATTTTTCAAGCTCGCCCGGTGTGGATATGCAATCAGAGTAACATCGCAAACATATTATTCACCTGAGTACACAACATCAACACAGAAAAATTCATATTACTAGAGCACATTGGTATTGAAGGAACTAGATACTGTTCCGAAATATCACTTACTCGAACGGTCCTGACCGCGTAGCTCAGCTGGAAGAGCATTGGGCTAGTATTCCAAAGGTCGTAGGTTCGAATCCCACTGTGGCCGGGCATATTTTTCAAGCTCGCCCGGTGTGGATATGCACTCAGAGTAACATCACAAACATATTATTCACCTGAGTACACAACACCAGCACAGAAAAAAATTCATATTACAAGAACACATTGGTATTGAAGGAACTAGATACTGTTCCGAAATATCACTTACTCGAACCGTCCTGACCGCGTAGCTCAGTTGGAAGAGCATTGGGCTAGTATTCCAAAGGTCGTAGGTTCGAATCCCACCGTGACCTGGCATATTTTTCAAGCTCGCCCGGTGTGGATATGCACTCAGAGTAACATCGCAAACATATTAAATTCACCTGAGTACACAACACCAACACAGAAAAAATTCATATTACTAGAACACATTGGCATTGAAGAAACTAGATACTGCTCTGAAATATCACTTACTCGAACCGTCCTGACCGCGTAGCTCAGTTGGAAGAGCATTGGGCTAGTATTCGAAAGGTCGTAGGTTCGAATCCCACCGTGGCCGGGCATATTTTTCAAGCTCGCCTGGTGTGGATATGGAATCAGAGTAACATCGCAAACATATTATTCACCTGAGTACACAACACCAACACAGAAAAATTCATATTACTAGAGCACATTGGTATTGAAGGAACTAGCTAGTGTTCCGAAATATCACTTACTCGAACCGTCCTTACCGCGTAGCTCAGTTGGAAGAGCATGGGGGTAGCATTCGAAAGGCCGTAGGTTCGAATCCCACCGTGGCCGGGCATATTTTTCAAGCTCGCCCGGTGTGGATGTACACTCAGAGTAACATCGCAAACATATTATTCACCTGAGTACACAACACCAGCACAAAAAATTCATATTAATAGAACACATTGGTATTGAAGGAATTAGATACTGTTCCGAAATATCACTTACTCGAACCGTCCTGACCGCGTAGCTCAGTTGGAAGAGCATTGGGCTAGTATTCCAAAGGTCGTAGGTTCGAATCCCACCGTGACCGGGCATATTTTTCAAGCTCGCCCGGTGTGGATATGCACTCAGAGTAACATCGCAAACATATTAAATTCACCTGAGTACACAACACTAACACAGAAAAAATTCATATTACCAGAACACATTGGTATTGAAGGAACTAGATACTGTTCTGAAATATCACTTACTCGAACCGTCCTGACCGCGTAGCTCAGTTGGAAGAGCATTGCGCTACTATTCCAAAGGTCATAGGTTCGAATCCCACCGTGGCCGGGCATATTTTTCAAGCTCGCCCGGTGTGGATATGCAATCAGAGTAACATCGCAAACATATTATTCACCTGAGTACACAACACCAACACAGGAAAAAAAATTCATATTACTAGAACATATTGGTATTGAAGGAACTAGATACTGTTCCGAAATATCACTTACTCGAACCATGCTGACCGCGTAGCTCAGTTGGAAGAGCATTGGGCCAGTATTCCAAAGGTCGTAGGTTCGAATCCTACCGTGGCCGGGCACATTTTTCAAGCTCGCCCGGTGTGGATATCCACTCAGAGTAACATGGCAAACATATTATTCACCTGAGTACACAACACCAACACAGAGAAAAAAAAATTCATATTACTAGAACATATTGGTATTGAAGGAACTAGATACTGTTCCGAAATATCACTTACTCGAACCGTCCTGACCGCATAGCTCAGTTGGAAGAGCATTGGGCCAGTATTCCAAAGGTCGTAGGTTCGAATCCTACCGTGGCCGGGCATATTTTTCAAGCTCGCCCGGTGTGGATATGCACTCAGATAACATGGCAAACATATTATTCACCTGAGTACAGAACACCAACACAGAGAAGAAAAAAATTCATATTACTAGAACATATTGGTATTGAAGGAACTAGATACTGTTCCGAAATATCACTTACTCGACCCGTCCTGACCGCATAGCTCAGTTGGAAGAGCATTGGGCTAGTATTCCAAAGATCGTAGGTTCGAATCCCACCGTGGCCGGGCATATTTTCAAGCTCGCCCGGTGTGGATATGCACTCAGAGTAACATGGCAAACATATTATTCACCTGAGTACACAACACCAACACAGAGAAAAAAAAAATTCATATTACTAGAAGATATTGGTATTGAACGAACCAGATACTGTTCCGAAATATCACTTACTCGAACCGTCCTGACTGCGTAGCTCAGTTGGAAGAGCATTGGGCTAGTATTCCAAAGGTCGTAGGTTCGAATCCTACCGTGGCCGGGCATATTTTTGAAGGTCGCCCGGTGTGGATATGCACTCAGAGTAACATCGCAAACATATTATTCAGCTGAGTACAGAACACCAACACAGAAAAAAAAAATTCATATTACTAGAACATATTGGTATTGAAGGAACTAGATACTTTTCCGAAATATCACTTACTCAAACCATGCTGACCGCGTAGCTCAGTTGGAAGAGCATTGGGCTAGTATTCCAAAGGTCGTAGGTTCGAATCCCACTGTGGCCGGGCATATTTTTCAAGCTTGCCCGGTGTGGATATGCACTCAGAGTAACATGGCAAACATATTATTCACCTGAGTACACAACACCAACACAGAGAAAAAAAAAATCATATTACTAGAACATATTGGTATTGAAGGAACCAGATACTGTTCCGAAATATCACTTACTCGAACCGTCCTGACCGCGTAGCTCAGTTGGAAGAGCATTGGGCTAGTATTCCAAAGGTCGTAGGTTCGAATCCTACCGTGGCCGGGCATATTTTTCAAGCTCGCCCGGTGTGGATATGCACTCAGAGTAACATCGCAAACATATTATTCACCTGAGTACACAACACCAACACCGAGAAAAAAAAATTCATATTACTGGAACATATTGGTATTGAAGGAACTAGATACTGTTCCGAAATATCACTTACTCGAACCGTCCTCACCGCGTAGCTCAGTTGGAAGAGCATTGGGCTAGTATTCCCAAGGTCGTAGGTTCGAATCCCACCGTGGCCGGGCATATTTTTCAAGCTTGCCCGATGTGGATATGCATTCAGAGTAACATGGCAAAAATATTATTCACCTGAGTACACAACACCAACACAGAGAAAAAAAAAATTCATATTACTAGAACATATTGGTATTGAAGGAACTAGATACTGTTCCGAAATATCACTTACTCGAACCGTCCTGACCGCGTAGCTCAGTTGGAAGAGCATTGGGCTGGTATTCCAAAGGTCGTAGGTTCGAATCCCACCGTGGCCGGGCATATTTTTCAAGCTCGCCCGGTGTGGATATACACTCAGAGTAACACCACAAATATCATATTCACCTGAGTACACTACACCAACACAGAAAAAAATTCATATTAATAGAATACATTGGTATCGAAGGAACTAGATCCTGTTCCGAAATATCACTTACTCGAGCCGTCCTGACCGCGTAGCTCAGTTGGAAGAGCATTGGGCTAGTATTCCAAAGGTCGTAGGTTCGAATCCCACCGTGGCCGGGCATATTTTTCAAGCTCGCCCGGTGTGGATATGCACTCAGAGTAACATCGCAAACATATTATTCACCTGAGTACACAACACCAACACAGAGAAAAAAAAATTCATATTACTAGAAGATATTGGTATTGAAGGAACCAGATACTGTTCCGAAATATCACTTACTCGAACCGTCCTCACTGCATAGCTCAGTTGGAAGAGCATTGGGCTAGTATTCCAAAGGTCGTAGGTTCGAATCCTACCGTGGCCGGGCATATTTTTCAAGGTCGCCCGGTGTGGATATGCACTCAGAGTAACAGTGCAAACATATTATTCACCTGAGTACACAACACCAACACAGAAAAAAAAAATTCATATTACTAGAACATATTGGTATTGAAGGAACTAGATACTGTTCCGAAATATCACTTACTCGAACCGACCTGACCGCATAGCTCAGTTGGAAGAGCATTGGGCTAGTATTCCAAAGATCGTAGGTTCGAATCCCACCGTGGCCGGGCATATTTTCAAGCTCGCCCGGTGTGGATATGCACTCAGAGTAACATGGCAAACATATTATTCACCTGAGTACACAACACCAACAAAGAGAAAAAAAAAATTCATATTACTAGAAGATATTGGTATTGAAGGAACCAGATACTGTTCCGAAATATCACTTACTCGAACTGTCCTGACTGCGTAGCTCAGTTGGAAGAGCATTGGGCTAGTATTCCAAAGGTCGTAGGTTCGAATCCTACCGTGGCCGGGCATATTTTTGAAGGTCGCCCGGTGTGGATATGCACTCAGAGTAACATCGCAAACATATTATTCACCTGAGTACAGAACACCAACACAGAAAAAAAAAATTCATATTACCAGAACATATTGGTATTGAAGGAACTAGATACTGTTCCGAAATATCACTTACTCGAACCATGCTGACCGCGTAGCTCAGTTGGAAGAGCATTGGGCTAGTATTCCAAAGGTCGTAGGTTCGAATCCCACCGTGGCCGGGCATATTTTTCAAGCTCGCCCGGTGTTGATATGCACCCAGAGTAACATCGCAAACATATTATTCACCTGAGTAGACAACACCAACACAGGAAAAAAAAATTCATATTAGTAGAACATATTGGTATTGAAGGAACTAGATACTGTTCCGAAATATCATTTACTCGAACCGTCCTGACCGCGTAGCTCAGTTGGAAGAGCATTGGGCCAGTATTCCAAAGGTCGTAGGTTCGAATCCTACCGTGGCCGGGCATATTTTTCAAGCTCGCCCGGTGTGGATATGCACTCAGAGTAACATGGCAAACATATTATTCACCTGAGTACACAACACCAACACAGAGAAAAAAAAAATTCATATTACTAGAACATATTGGTATTGAAGGAACCAGATACTGTTCCGAAATATCACTTACTCGAACCGTCCTGACCGCGTAGCTCAGTTGGAAGAGCATTGGGCTAGTATTCCAAAGGTCGTAGGTTCGAATCCCACCGTGGCCGGGCATATTTTTCAAGCTCGCCCGGTGTGGATATGCACTCAGAGTAACATCGCAAACATATTATTCACCTGAGTACACAACACCAACACAGAGAAGAAAAAATTCATATTACTAGAACATATTGGTATTGAAGGAACCAGATACTGTTCCGAAATATCACTTACTCGAACCGTCCTCACCGCGTAGCTCAGTTCGAAGAGCATTGGGCTAGTATTCCAAAGGTCGTAGGTTCGAATCCCACCGTGGCCGGGCATATTTTCAAGCTCACCCGGTGTGGATATGCACTCAGAGTAACATGGCAAACATATTATTGACCTGAGTACACAACACCAACACAGAGAAAAAAAAAATTCATATTACTAGAAGATATTGGTATTGAAGGAACCAGATACTGTTCCGAAATATCACTTACTCGAACCGTCCTGACTGCGTAGCTCAGTTGGAAGAGCATTGGGCTAGTATTCCAAAGGTCGTAGGTTCGAATCCTACCGTGGCCGGGCATATTTTTCAAGGTCGCCCGGTGTGGATATGCACTCAGAGTAACAGCGCAAACATATTATTCACCTGAGTACACAACAGCAACACAGAAAAAAAAAATTCATATTACTAGAACATATTGGTATTGAAGGAACTAGACACTGTTCCGAAATATCACTTACTCGAACCGTCCTGACCGCATAGCTCAGTTGGAAGAGCATTGGGCTAGTATTCCAAAGGTCGTAGGTTCGAATCCTACCGTGGCCGGGCATATTTTTGAAGGTCGCCCGGTGTGGATATGCACTCAGAGTAACATCGCAAACATATTATTCACCTGAGTACAGAACACCAACACAGAAAAAAAAATTCATATTAGTAGAACATATTGGTATTGAAGGAACTAGATACTGTTCCGAAATATCACTTACTCGAACCATGCTGACCGCGTAGCTCAGTTGGAAGAGCATTGCGCTAGTATTCCAAAGGTCGTAGGTTCGAATCCCACCGTGGCCTGGCATATTTTTCAAGCTCGCCCGGTGTGGATATGCACCCAGAGTAACATCGCAAACATATTATTCACCTGAGTAGACAACACCAACACAGGAAAAAAAAATTCATATTACTAGAACATATTGGTATTGAAGGAACCAGATACTGTTCCGAAATATCACTTACTCAAACCGTCCTGACCGCGTAGCTCAGTTCGAAGAGCATTGGGCTAGTATTCCAAAGGTCGTAGGTTCGAATCCCACCGTGGCCGGGCATATTTTTCAAGCTCGCCCGGTGTGGATATGCACTCAGAGTAACATCGCAAACATATTATTCACCTGAGTACACAACACCAACACAGAGAAAAAAAATTCATATTACTAGAACATATTGGTATTGAAGGAACTAGATACTGTTCCGAAATATCACTTACTCGAACAGTCCTCACCGCGTAGCTCAGTTGGAAGAGCATTGGGCTAGTATTCCCAAGGTCGTAGGTTCGAATCCCACCGTGGCCGGGCATATTTTTCAAGCTTGCCCGGTGTGGATATGCACTCAGAGTAACATGGCAAAAATATTATTCACCTGAGTACACAACACCAACACAGAGAAAAAAAAAATTCATATTACTAGAACATATTGGTATTGAAGGAACCAGATACTGTTCCGAAATATCACTTACTCAAACCGTCCTGACCGCGTAGCTCAGTTGGAAGAGCATTGGGCTAGTATTCCAAAGGTCGTAGGTTCGAATCCCACCGTGGCCGGGCATATTTTCAAGTTCGCCCGGTGTGGATATGCACTCAGAGTAACATGGCAAACATATTATTCACCTGAGTACACAACACCAACACCGAGAAAAAAAAATTCATATTACTAGAACATATTGGTATTGAAGGAACTAGATACTGTTCCGAAATATCACTTACTTGAACCGTCCTGACTGCGTAGCTCAGTTGGAAGAGCATTGGGCTAGTATTCCAAAGGTAGTAGGTTCGAATCCTACCGTGGCCGAGCATGTTTTTCAAGCTCTCCCGGTGTGGATATGCACTCAGATAACATGGCAAACATATTATTCACCTGAGTACAGAACACCAACACAGAGAAGAAAAAAATTCATATTACTAGAACATATTGGTATTGAAGGAACTAGATACTGTGCCGAAATATCACTTACTCGAACCGTCCTGACCGCGTAGCTAAGTTGGAAGAGCATTGGGCTAGTATTCCAAAGGTCGTAGGTTCGAATCCTACCGTGGCCGGGCATATTTTTCAAGCTCGCCCAGTGTGGATATGCACTCAGAGTAACATCGCAAACATATTATTCACCTGAGTACAGAACACCAACACAGAAAAAAAAAATTCATATTACTAGAACATATTGGTATTGAAGGAACTAGATACTGTTCCGAAATATCACTTACTCGAACCATGCTGACCGCGTAGCTCAGTTGGAAGAGCATTGGGCTAGTATTCCAAAGGTCGTAGGTTCGAATCCCACCGTGGCCGGGCATATTTTTCAAGCTCGCCCGGTGTTGATATGCACCCAGAGTAACATCGCAAACATATTATTCACCTGAGTAGACAACACCAACACAGGAAAAAAAAATTCATATTAGTAGAACATATTGGTATTGAAGGAACTAGATACTGTTCCGAAATATCATTTACTCGAACCGTCCTGACCGCGTAGCTCAGTTGGAAGAGCATTGGGCCAGTATTCCAAAGGTCGTAGGTTCGAATCCTACCGTGGCCGGGCATATTTTTCAAGCTCGCCCGGTGTGGATATGCACTCAGAGTAACATCACAAACATATTATTCACCTGAGTACACTACACCAACACAGAAAAAATTCATATTACTAGAAAACATTGGTATTGAAGGAACTGGATTCTGTTCCGAAATATCACTTACTCGAACCGTCCTGACCGCGTAGCTCAGTTGGAAGAGCATTGGGCTAGTATTCCAAAGGTCGTAGGTTCGAATCCCACCGTGGCCGGGCATATTTTTCAAGCTCGCCCGGTGTGGATATGCACTCAGAGTAACATCGCAAAAATATTATTCACCTGAGTACACAACACCAACACAGAAAAAAATTCATATTGCTAGAACACATTGGTATTGAAGGAACTAGATACTGTTCCGAAATATCACTTACTCGAACCGTCCTGACCGCATAGCTCAGTTGGAAGAGCATTGGGCTAGTATTCCAAAGATCGTAGGTTCGAATCCCACCGTGGCCGGGCATATTTTCAAGCTCGCCCGGTGGGGATATGCACTCAGAGTAACATGGCAAACATATTATTCACCTGAGTACACAACACCAACACAGAGAAAAAAAAAATTCATATTACTAGAAGATATTGGTATTGAAGGAACCAGATACTGTTCAGAAATATCACTTACTCGAACCGTCCCGACTGCGTAGCTCAGTTGGAAGAGCATTGGGCTAGTATTCCAAAGGTCGTAGGTTCGAATCCTACCGTGGCCGGGCATATTTTTCAAGCTCGCCCAGTGTGGATATGCACTCAGAGTAACATCGCAAACATATTATTCACCTGAGTACACAACACCAACACAGAAAAAAAAAAATCATATTACTAGAACATAGTGGTATTGAAGGAACTAGATACTGTTCCGAAATATCACTTACTCGAACCGTCCTGACCGCACAGCTCAGTTGGAAGAGCATTGGGCTAGTATTCCAAAGGTCGTAGGTTCGAATCCCACCGTGGCCGGCCATATTTTTCAAGCTCGCCCGGTGTGGATATGCACTCAGAGTAACACCGCAAACATATTATTCACCTGAGTACACAACACCAACACAGGAAAAAAAATTCATATTACTAGAACATATTGGTATTGAAGGAACTAGATACTGTTCCGAAATATCACTTACTCGAACCGTCCTCACCGCGTAGGTCAGTTGGAAGAGCATTGGGCTAGTATTCCAAAGGTCGTAGGTTTGAATCCCACCGTGGCCGGGCATATTTTTCAAGCTCGCCCGGTGTGGATATGCACTCAGAGTAACATCGCAAACATATTATTCACCTGAGTACAGAACACCAACACAGAGAAAAAAAAAATTCATATTACTAGAACATATTGGTATTGAAGGAACTAGATACTGTGCCGAAATATCACTTACTCGAACCGTCCTGACCGCGTAGCTCAGTTGGAAGAGCATTGGGCGAGTATTCCAAAGGTCGTAGGTTCGAATCCCACCGTGGCCGGGCATATTTTTCAAGTTCGCCCGGTGTGGATATGCACTCAGAGTAACATCGCAAACATATTATTCCCCTGACAACAACACCAACACAGAAAAAAAAATTCATATTACTAGAACATATTGGTATTGAAGGAACTAGATACTGTTCCGAAATATCACTTACTCGAACAGTGCTGACCGCGTAGCTAAGTTGGAAGAGCATTGGGCTAGTATTCCAAAGGTCGTAGGTTCGAATCCTACCGTGGCCGGGCATATTTTTCAAGCTCGCCCAGTGTGGATATGCACTCAGAGTAACATCGCAAACATATTATTCACCTGAGTACACAACACCAACACAGAAAAAAAATTCATATTACTAGAACACATTGGTATTGAAGGAACTAGATACTGTTCCGAAATATCACTTACTCGAACCGTCCTGACCGCGTAGCTCAGGTGGAAGAGCATTGGGCTAGTATTCCAAAGGTCGTAGGTTCGAATCCCACCGTGGCCGGGCATATTTTTCAAGCTCGCCGGTGTGGATATGCACTCAGAGTAACATCGCAAACATATTATTCGCCTGAGTACACAACACCAACACAGAAAAAAATCATATTACTAGAACACATTGGTATTGAAGGAACTAGATACTGTTCCGAAATATCACTTACTCGAACCGTCCTGACCGCGTAGCTCAGTTGGAAGAGCATTGGGCTAGTATTCCAAAGGTCATAGGTTCGAATCCCACCGTGGCCGGCCATATTTTCAAGCTCGCCCGGTGTGGATATGCACTCAGAGTAACATGGCAAACATATTATTCACCTGAGTACACAAAACCAACACAGAGAAAAAAAAAATTCATATTACTAGAAGATATTGGTATTGAAGGAACCAGATACTGTTCCGAAATATCACTTACTCGAACCGTCCTGACCGCATAGCTCAGTTGGAAGAGCATTGGGCTAGTATTCCAAAGGTCGTAGGTTCGAATCCCACCGTGGCCGGGCATATTTTTCAAGCTCGCCCGGTGTGGATATGCACTCAGAGTAACATCGCAAACATATTATTCCCCTGAGTACACAACACCAACACAGAAAAAAAAATTAATATTACTAGAACATATTGGTATTGAAGGAACTAGATACTGTTCCGAAATATCACTTACTCGAACCATGCTGACCGCGTAGCTCAGTTGGAAGAGCATTGGGCTAGTATTCCAAAGGTCGTAGGTTCGAATCCCACCGTGGCCGGGCATATTTTTCAAGCTCGCCCGGTGTGGATATGCACTCAGAGTAACATCACAAACATATTATTCACCTGAGTACACAACACCAGCACAGAAAAAAAAATAAATTCATATTACAAGAACACATTGGTATTGAAGGAACTAGATACTGTTCCGAAATATCACTTACTCGAACCGTCCTGACCACGTAGCTCAGTTGGAAGAGCATTGGGCTAGTATTCCAAAGGTCGTAGGTTCGAATCCCACCGTGGCCGGGCATATTTTTCAAGCTCGCCCGGTGTGGATATGCACTCAGAGTAACATCGCAAACATATTATTCACCTGAGTACAGAACACCAACACAGAGAAAAAAAAAATTCATATTACTAGAACATATTGGTATTGAAGGAACTAGATACTGTGCTCAAATATCACTTACTCGAACCGTCCTGACCGCGTAGCTCAGTTGGAAGAGCATTGGGCTAGTATTCCAAAGGTCGTAGGTTCGAATCCCACCGTGGCCGGGCATATTTTTCAAGCTCGCCCGGTGTGGATATACACTCAGAGTAACACCACAAATATCATATTCACCTGAGTACACTACACCAACACAGAAAAAATTTCATATTACTAGAATACATTGGTATCGAAGGAACTAGATTCTGTTCCGAAATATCACTTACTCGAACCGTCTTGACCGCGTAGCTCAGTTGGAAGAGCATTGGGCTAGTATTCCAAAGGTCGTAGGTTCGAATCCCACCGTGGCCGGGCATATTTTTCAAGCTCGCCCGGTGTGGATATGCACTCAGAGTAACATCGCAAACATATTATTCACCTGAGTACACAACACCAACACAGGAAAAAAAAATTCATATTAGTAGAACATATTGGTATTGAAGGAACTAGATACTGTTCCGAAATATCACTTACTCGAACCGTCCTGACCACGTAGCTCAGTTGGAAGAGCATTGGGCCAGTATTCCAAAGGTCGTAGGTTCGAATCCTACCGTGGCCGGCATATTTTTCAAGCTCGCCCGGTGTGGATATGCACTCAGAGTAACATCGCAAACATATTATTCACCTGAGTACACAACACCAACACCGAGAAACAAAAATTCATATTACTAGAACATATTGGTATTGAAGGAACTAGATACTGTTCCGAAATATCACTTACTCGAACCGTCCTCACCGCGTAGCTCAGTTGGAAGAACATTGGGCTAGTATTCCAAAGGTCGTAGGTTCGAATCCCACCGTGGCCGGGCATATTTTTCAAGCTCGCCCGGTGTGGATATGCACTCAGAGTAACATCGCAAACATATTATTCACCTGAGTACACAACACCAACACAGAAAAATTCATATTACTAGAACACATTGGTATTCAAGGAACTAGATACTGTTCCGAAATATCACTTACTCGAACCGTCCTGACCGCGTAGCTCGGTTGGAAGAGCATTGGGCTAGTATTCCAAAGGTCGTAGGTTCGAATCCCACCGTGGCCGCGTATATTTTTCAAGCTCGCCTGGTGTGGATATACACTCAGAGTAACACCACAAATATCATATTCACCTGAGTACACTACACCAACACAGAAAAAAATTCATATTACTAGAATACATTGGTATCAAAGGAACTAGATTCTGTTCCGAAATATCACTTACTCGAACCGTTCTGACCGCGTAGCTCAGTTGGAAGAGCATTGGGCTAGTATTCCAAAGGTCGTAGGTTCGAATCCCACCGTGGCCGGGCATATTTTTCAAGCTCGCCCGGTGTGGATATGCACTCAGAGTAACATCGCAAACATATTCACCTGAGTACACAACAACAACACAGAAAAAATTCATATTACTAGAACACATTGGTATTGAAGGAACTAGATACTGTTCCGAAATATCACTTACTCGAACCGTCCTGACCGCGTAGCTCAGTTGGAAGAGCATTGGGCTAGTATTCCAAAGGTCGTAGGTTCGAATCCCACCGTGGTCGGGCATATTTTTCAAGCTCGCCCGGTGTGGATATGCACTCAGAGTAACATCGCAAACATATTATTCACCTGAGTACACAACACCAACACAGAAAAATTCATATTACTAGAACACATTGGTATTGAAGGAACTAGATACTGTTCCGAAATATCACTTACTCGAACCGTCCTGACCACGTAGCTCAGTTGGGAGAGCATTGGGCTAGTATTCCAAAGGTCGTAGGTTCGAATCCCACCGTGGCCGGGCATATTTTTCAAGCTCGCCCGGTGTGGATATGCACTCAGAGTAACATCGAAAACATATTATTCACCTGAGTACACAACACCAACACAGAAATAAATTCATATTACTAGAACACATTGGTATTGAAGGAACTAGATACTGTTCCGAAATATCACTTACTCGAACCGTCCTGACCGCGTAGCTCAGTTGGAAGAGCATTGGGCTAGTTTTTCAAAGGTCGTAGGTTCGAATCCCACCGTGGCCGGGCATATTTTTCAAGCTCGCCCGGTGTGGATATGCACTCAGAGTAACATCGCAAACATATTAAATTCACCTGAGTACACAACACCAACACAGAAAAATTCACATTACTAGAACACATTGGTATTGAAGGAATTAGATACTGTTTCGAAATATCACTTACTCGAACCGTCCTTACCGCGTAGCTCAGCTGGAAGAGCATTGGGCTAGTATTCCAAAGGCCGTAGGTTCGAATCCCACCGTGGCCGGGCATATTTTTCAAGCTCGCCCGGTGTGGATATCCACTCAGAGTAACATCGCAAACATATTATTCACCTGAGTACACAACACCAGCACAGAAAATTCATATTACTAGAACACATTGGTATTGAAGGAACTAGATACTGTTCCGAAATATCACTTACTCGAACCGTCCTGACCGCGTAGCTCAGTTGGAAGAGCATTGGGCTAGTATTCCAAAGGTCGTAGGTTCGAATCCCACCGTGGCCGGGCATATTTTTCAAGCTCGCCCGGTGTGGATATGCACTCAGAGTAACATCGCAAACATATTATTCACAACACCAACACCTGAGTACACAACACCAACACAGAAAAATATTCAGTCTATTTTATTGTTATTTTACTAACTATGAAGGAAAGATAGGATTAAAATAGTATATTTTATTCCTGTTTGAAATTTGTGCATTTAACTTGCAATGTAAAATAGGATTTAAACAGCCTATTTTATTTTTTGAGTTTAAAAATAGTATATTTTATATCTATTTTAATTTCTAACTGCTTTTTAGTGAATTAAAATAGAATTTAAATAGCTATTTAAACCTATTTTTTCCCTGAAGCTCTGGAAAATAGTATTAAAATATGCGATTTTATTTCTATTATCCATAAAAATAGGAATAAAATAAAATAAAACATTAATAAAATATGGCTCTTTCTTTTAGTGAAATATTATGATAGGGTTGCTTCTGAATAAAATAGCATAAAAAAACGGGTGATAGTAATAAAATAGTTTTAAAATAGCAATATAATATAGTTATGTACGAGTCAAATCCAACCGCGATTGCCCCCCCCCCCGGGCAACCCCCATGGAATTTGACTTTTGAAAAAATAATTAGTCGAATGCCCGCCCGAACAGGCAGAAACCACAGTCAAATGCCCTGCTATAAGGGTAGTCCTGGTTCTGGAATTTTGGCTAAAATTAAGTTGAACAAGAATTTCAAGATTAAAAAGAACAAAAAATAGGCCAGACAGTTCTTGTTGTTCAACTGGGCATATTGTATCTATGACTGATATTTGTGATTCAGAAGCAATTTTTAAACTATCGAAAAGACGTAAAATAGAAAACTCCTGAAGCGCTAGAATGTACACATATTTTTAGGGAAAACCGCTGAGCAAGTTGTTGTCAGGTGGTCAAATGCCCGACCAGGCCGTCAAATTCCTGCCTATACGGGGGTAATGTTAAGTCAAATGCCCTGGGGTTGCCCGGAGGGGGGCCTGATCGCGGTTGGATTTGACTTGTACATTATTTTCGCAAAGGTCATCAACAAAAAGATGTTTTGCAAATGTGGGATATTAGATTTTAAGTTGCTAGTATCCTGTTGGATACTGAAATAAAATGTTGATTACTTCTGATTTATTCGTAAACTTTGAGAATTTTTCTTGATAAACTTCGATCAGAACTTCAAAACATACAGATTACAAGAGAGCACATTGTTCACAATTATTACGTCATGCACAATTATTACGTCATGCATAATTACTACGTCATGCATAATTATGATAAGTTATAGGTTGTAGACACAGATTGTATTTCTTCAAATTCGGGCAATTGATCTACGAAATTATCCCCTTGAAACTTGGTATTCTTTGGCCAGCCAGACTCGTCACCTTGCAGGAAGTCCGGACCACACCACCAACTACGCATTTCTTTCAATTCCGATGCAAGTGAACCACGAGAAAGGGATTTTGGTTGGTTGGCACATGACGCCACGATTTCGGATCAATTAACTTCCTAATTTCTACAACTCGATTTTGAATAAACAGTTTATACTCTTTTCCTGTCCCTGTAATCCACCACAGGGCAATCTCTGAATCCAGACAACGCGATCAATCTTGTACTTTCCTTCCAGTTCACGTCGAACACGTGACATTAATCTTGCAAGCACCAGCCCTGATAACAGCTCTAGTCTCGGAATTGTTTCTCCACCTATGGGAGCGACTTTTGACTTGGATGCAACGAGTTGACACGAAACAACCGTTCCTGTACTGATACGAATATACACTACTCCTCTGTACGCTTTCTCCGAAGCATCACCGAATCCGTGTAATTCTACTGATCTGATTTCCTTTCGATCAATCTGAGGGCTATAGCATCGATTCAAATCGACTGTCGAGGTTTCTTTCATATTAGTCAACACAGATTTCCACGATTTCGCTGTCTCATCTTCGAGAACATCGTCCCAGGTAATGTTCTTGTCCTTGCAAATGGCTTGAAAGAGTATTTTAAGTACGGTCGTAATGGGGGACAAAAGTCCAAGAGGGTTGTACACCTTAGCGATTGAACTTAACACAATTCGTTTTGTAACTGATTCTTCTGTCAGATACATAGTCAGTCCGTCACAACTGAACACCAACTTGTCGCTCTTTGTATTCCAGGTTATGCCGAGAACCTTTGGGAACTCTTCCTCAGGATTCACTTGTGGTAAACCTGTCTTCGAGTAGCTCTGATCTTCCTCCCAATCCTCGCATGTCTTGGTCGCATCAGACCCTTCAATGCTGGCAATCTTGTTCCCCAATACGTCGCTGTTCGTTTGCCATTTACGCATATTAAAACCTCCATCCTTAAATCTTTTCTTCAACTTGTCGTACAATGAATAAGCCTCCGATACACTTGAGGCTGATGATGCGAAATCATCGACATACAACGACTTGAGCACTTCTTCAACAAAATCAGGATCTATATCCTTGTAGGAATTTATGTGGTGACTGATTGTTCCGTTTTACAGAAAAGGGCTTGAGTTAACCCCAAAGACAACTCTTGTGAATCTTCTGATAACAATTTCTGGATTGTCCTTTGTTATGTCGTCTATCCAAAGAAACCGTAGCAAATCTCGATCATCTGATGCAATTGAGACATTTAAGAATGCCTTTTCAATATCGCTTGTGAGTAGTAATATAGAGGCCGATCGATCCGGATTTTTGGGGCGGCGCATCATCATTAGCATACGTCATAATTACATACAATGACGTTACACGGGTAGGATCAGGCAAGTAATGACGTCACGCGGGCGAGATTAAACACGATCGGGCGAAACTTGCTGACTATGCATTTTTTAGCGTCCCCCACGTTTATGATACAATTGAGGGATTAATGTTGGCTTACTATGATTGGTTGTTTGATTTAACGAGCGTCTGTATAAAATCGACAAGCGTCCTGTAACAAACATAGTTCTGCATTTGACAACTCTCTTGCTGGAGTTCTTTTGGGTAGCTGATTTTGTTAAATTTATATTCGGAGAGAAGCACTTGGAAGAGAATGGCCCAGCAACATCGAGAGAATATTTGGTAAGTTTAATTTAAACTGAAAATTAATATAATATCGAGAGTTTTGTGTATGTAATCGACTTCTATATTTTGTAGGAGAGATCAATTTATGAGCGAACTGGAAAATGACGATGTCAATCGCCAGCTTTGCGCCGTTGCTGCAGATGAAATGTTCGAGTCCTGGTCGTCGGAGACGCAGGAGCAGATTTTGGCTGAATGGAATGATTGGCGACGAGACGAAAACCCTGGACATAGCTGTGATGAATGTGGCAAAACATTTACACGATCCAGCGACCTAAAGCGCCATACAAAACGTGTACACACTGAAGAAAGAGTTTTTTTCTTGCAACCATTGTGACAAATCTTTCGCTAGGAAAGATATGTTGAAACGTCACGAGAAAGTCCATAGCAAGGAAAAAGTATACGAATGCCATAGATGCCACAAGAAATTTGCTCGAAAGGTATATAGTACCGACAGTTTATATTCTAACTGCAATGTATTTTAAACTATTATGCTTATTTATTATTTTTCAAGGACAAGCTGAATAGGTATATGAAAATGCACGAACGAAGAGGTGCCGAAAGGGAGTATACTTGTAATGAGTGTGGTGAGGTGTTTCGAAATATACTCCCATTCCAAGCATATCAGCGTGATGTCCATCAGACTGGTGGTGGGAAACGTACGAAGACGCCGACCGGGCGAACAAAAAGGCAAAGAACTGATGAACCAGGTATGTATAAATGAAAATAATTTGATTGCTAACTTTGTATTTATACACATATATTTTTTCTTTTAAGAACTGCCATCATCTTCGACACGCGTTAACAGAGGTAAGAGAGTATATATGCTGTGTAATAATTTGAGTTAAAATCACACTAATACATTTTTTCCCCTTTTCAGGTGCTTCCACGTCTACAGTCGTCAGCAAAGGTATGAAATTCAAATTTTTATACCGTATATAGTATATTGATTGTGGTGATTTGATGTGTATATTGACAATGTTAATTACTCGCAACCTCGGTTTTAAAACATTGCCTGAAATCCTAACGTTTACATTTGAAAAATATTTTCATGCTGTTTTCATGTTGTTTCACTAATGTTTGTGTTTTGAAAACCCGATAAACATAATCGGGTAATTTTTAAGCGTAGGTTTATAGTGTGGAATGTTCCTAATTATTCGTGTTAGACTTATGTTCATTTGCTTTAGAACTATTAATTTATATCATTGTAAGAGCATTTACGCTGCATCATTTTTATAACATTCGCTAGCGTTTTATAGTGAGGTAAAAGAAATTTTTGTTGCGTGGGTTGATTATGTTGCTATGTGAAATTTGCATGTCCTAATTTATTCATGTTAGACTTATGTTGATTTTTTATGAATCGGGTGTTTGTATGACAAAATTAGTGCGGAGCTCTAGACAAAAATAAAGAATCGGGTGTTATTTCTATAGGACCCCAACCGTTCCCTCAAGATCCCCTATTACCCTTATCTAACCTTCCTTCCCAACTCCACCGAGAGCATTGGCGTGCTATACGTACGCGACAAAGCCGAGGCAATCGAGTGCAAGACTGGTATAATTATCGTTTGAGCTCGTTGAATATGGGTCAACTTGTGGACGATATAGACCGTATATTTGAAGATCAATCGACCGTCTTTAAATTGAATCTATCCTTTGGCTTTGTTTTGTTTAACAACGAAACGGAGCAGATGCAATATCACCACCCCTCAGCTAACAACAACCGTGTCTTCGACTCCCCATTCCAGATTAATAACCGCGAGGATTTGGTTCAAGTGCGTACAGCGTTGGAAAACATCGACATTCATGAATGGGCTCGACAACAACGTCCCAACTCGAAATGGATTGTCATGGATTTCACCAACGCTACGTTCTACGTCACCAAACTTCGAGACCATCCCATAGGTCAAAGTGTCCGACTACCCAAATACGTACTGGGTAATCCTGCCATTGTGTCGCTCGACTGTGATAAAAACACTGGCTTGCCATACGAAGACAAACTATGCTTCTTTCGTTGTTTGGCCCTACACCGTGGATGTCATTCCAAAAATTTAGAACGTGATACTCAGCATTTTTATGAACAATATGACGATAGTGACGATTTTGACGGTGTGACACTCGAAGAGCTCCCAGAGTTGGAAAAGTTATTCGAGTTGAACATTTACGTCTATCGCCTTACAGAGTTACATGACGAAGATGACGCCACGACCTCCTTTGTGGCTCAACTCATACAGCGCTCCCATCGTAGATATGCCAATTCGATGTATCTGAACCTCTACGGTAGTCACTTCAGCTACATTAAGAATTTGGCCATGTATTCCAAGTCCTACTGTTGTTGCAAATGTGACAAAATGTGGAAGACAGCGAGAGCCTTGAACCGACACGAGCGAACCTGTGCTGGAACTATACGTCACATCTTCCCTGGTGGTGCCTACAAAGTTCCACAATCTATCTTCGACTTGTTGGCCGATGAACGAATCGAGATCCCTGAAGACCTCAAGTACTTCCCTTATCGCGCCACCTTCGACTTTGAATGTTATTTTAAACATACATCTAACCATTCAAGAAACACCGAAAAACTCACGTGGCAAGCCGAACATATTCCGTTGAGTGTATCTGTATGTTCGAACGTCCCTGGCTACACCGAACCCAAGTGCTTTGTTTCCTCTGGTGACACGAGTAAAATGATCCAAGAATTCGTGGAATATTTGGTAAAAATTAGTCAAGAAAGTTATGTCTTGTTGTTGGATCTGTTTGCGGATGTGTTTCGCCAAATTGATGAACGAGTCAATCAGGTATAATTCACACGTATTAGTATATTTCATATCCTTAATATTATTTCTTATATCTTTAGGCGAGTGAAAACGAGGAGGTAAATGGTGAAATCCCTATTTTTTATACTGTTGAACTTATATCATATTTCTTCTATTTTAGCCAAATTCAGAGGAGCAGCTGGTAGAATGTCCGATGGGGTTGGATAACGAGGTAAACTATATATTTGGTCTATTAGATGTTTATAATATTTGTACTTATTATGTTGTATATTTTCAGGAGAGGGAAGTAAGTGATGGCGAAGTGGTTGGGGACGAAGTGAATGAGGATGAGGCAGGAAAAACCCACCCACTGGAAAAGTTGGTCGAGAAGTTGGACCTTTACTTGATGGAACTTCCTGTGATCGGTTTCAACTCGGGCAAGTACGATATAAATGCTGCTAAAAACCCATTCATCTCTTACCTGGTGAAACACGAGCAAGTTA